GGGGGGGGAGGTGTGTGTGGGGGGGAAATTGGTTGGAAAAAAAAAGAAGGGGGGGAGAGGACCCAGGCACCCAAATTTGTTGAGCCAAAAAAAGTATTTTACTCCTGCAGTATTTTCTGTTGTTTTTTTTTAAACCCGAGAGAAGACGCAATTACCGGACTGTCTGGACAAAAACAGGACAACTGGCAAACCTATGCAGGACTCTACATGATTTGTTTCTTGCATGCACCTAAGTTTTTCCACAAGGGGGTAGCTCAATTTCACACTCCTGACCTTGTCCTGTATGCAGAGGGGTAGTCGTATTCAACCGAAAAAAACCACCACCAAATAGTCCTGTAGCACCCTCGAGACTACAGGTGATATCATGAGCTTGTGTATGCACAACCCACTTCTTGTGCCCACAAAAGCTCATACCACCATCTACGTTTTTGTTAGTCTCGAATTATGGTGCTGAAGGACTATTTGCTGTGGTTTAAGCTTGCCCTGTGTGTCATTTTCCAGAAAGGAAAACCTGATAACTTGGGCCCTATTCCTCATAGGTAGTTAGGTGTCTAAATTCCCATCGACTCCAGTAGAAATTCAAAGGTATTTAGATGCCTGTGATCAGAGGGGCTACGTCTACACTGGCATGATTTTCCGGAAATGCTTTTAACGGAAAAGGTTTTCCGTTAAAAGTATTTCCAGAAAAGCACGTCTAGATTGGCAGGACGCTTTTCTGGAAAAGCACTTTTGCCGGAAAAGTGTCCGTGGCCAATCTAGACGCGCTTTTCCGCAAAAAAGCCCCGATCATCATTTTCGCAATTGGGGCTTTTTTGCGGAAAACACTACTGTGCTGTCTACACTGGCCCTTTTCCAGAACAGTTTTCTGGAAAAAGACTTTTGCCCGAACAGGAGCAGCATAGTTTTTCCGGAAAAGCACTGATGATTTTACATTAGATAGTCAGTGCTCTTCTAGAAATTCAAGTGGCCAGTGTAGACAGCTGGCAAGTTTTTCCGGAAAAGTGGCTGATTTTCCGGAATAACTTGCCAGTGTAGACACAGCCAGGGAGTTTGGCTACTACCCTAAGACCCGAAGCCTCAAGGATAAATGGGAGTCAATGTCATATCCACATCATACACAAGCACAGAGAGGTGAAGTGACTGGCACAACACTTCACCTCCCTCTGAAGACAAATCATGTTGCTTGCCATCACTGGAACAAGACAGAGGTGCATTGACCACACATCCATCCTTGCACGGTTATCTACCCAACACACTTGTTCTCTTTATGTAAAGTAAGGTGATTCTCTATACATTCCACAATAGGTTCATCTATTTCTTCCTGCATTTAGTATTTCAGCTCCCGAGGTACGCCCTTCTCTCAACTGTTATCTATGAGCAGCAGTGACTTTTCCTTTTCATCCACCCACTCGCTTAAAGATTTGTAAAGAAAGCAACAAAAAAAATGAACTAGGAGCAAGCACCTTCGTGTGGCTCCAGCATTATTGCTCCCTACAGAATTTATTAAGCAAGCATTTGGCAACAGGCCTTCAGCACTTGCCGCACACTGACCCAGACCCAGGAACGATCTGCACTGACGTTTTTAAAGAGCCAAAACAGACTCTCTGAGAAGCCTTTCAGAGCAAATTGGAGTCAGAAAAACAGTCTTGGGAAATATTAAGTGTTTCTTTAAAATACATTTGAATAGTGGCTCCCACATATTTAGCTATGGAATTGAGTTCTGGCTGGTTAGGGTTTCAGCTATTCAGACTGAAGAACCTTAAAATGTAGTTTTGTTTTGGTTTTTTTGAGAGAGACAGACACAAGGCATTAAGGGTAGACTGTTCTTCCAGTTCAGAGTTCTAAGCAAGCTATGGCAGCTGGTTAAAAATTCTAACGCTGGTAACACCATTCCTATGGACAGCACCAAGCATGCAAGAGAGAAGCAAGCTATATTTTTATTGGCTGAGAGAACGTTTCTAAACAAGACATATGCAAAGGGTTTGAGACAAACATGACAACAACATGTACGTGGGTTTTTTTCTATTTTATTGTAAAAAAAAAAAATCTCGATTTGTTTAAATTTTTTAAACATACAAGCAGAATTGTTTAATACTCCCCAGTAACACTGTTAATTCTAACAAACTGAAGCAGAAATTCAAAAAATTAACAGCCACAAGTTTATTTACAACTGAACGTTTTTTATAAGATATTTACAAGACGACCAATTTTACATTAGAAATGGTATCAAAAGTATGCATTACAGACAACTAGGTGTCAAATGGCCATAAAACAAGGCTGAAGAATACAGACAAGCTTTTAATTGTATTTAAGATTTTTTTTTTTTACACTAGCTTAAACTTGGTTAAAGAAAGCAAGGTTTTAAACCAAAGAACGGTTCTAATAGGGAATTGCAGGGCCTTCCATTGCAGATTGAGTTTCACAGTGTTGCACCCCATATTGGGAGAAATAAGACTTTTTCCCATGCCAACACTCACTGAAAATTTAACTTGGTACTTTCCCTCCAACCTACTCCCTGCCCACACACCCCATCTGTAGCTAACGACTGCTGGATAGATATCTATGAAAGATCATTTTTATAAAACATGGCTGCCTGTCTGGAGTTTAAAAACCAGGTGTGCCCCGGGAAATCAGGACCACTGGGACTTTAGTCTGAGGTCAAGCAGCTACCAGCAGATACCTCTCAGAGCTAGCTGTCACTGGGACGTAAGTGTTCTGACCCCTGAAAAGCCACGAATGCAGGGTATAACCAGAATGCAAAACCCACCTGATGCAGACCTGAAAGAGACAACATCAAGGAAAGAAAACAAGGCTCAAGCTTAATATTTGCCCATTTAACATGTTGGCTCCTAATTGCACAGAAATCCATTAAGAACACACGCTATCATGCGAAAGCAGGACACTCAAGAACAGCCTTATTTAAAAAAAAAAAAAAAAGCGCAGTGCATAGCCCTAATGTTTCAGGCTATGTGGTACCAGGGTCCATGTCTCAAAAGATTTGCCCCTTTCATGTAGATTTCAGACCGTCTTTCAAACACCATTCCTACAGGAACCCTAGCACGGCCCACTGCCGTGTTGTAAGAATCAACCTCTCTCCCAAATTGCATAAGAATACATCCCAGTTCACAGGGAAAAGGAGGGAAAAAAACGCCACATTTTGTATTTGTGCATTACTATTTATAGCCATTTGAACCAAAGCAGGGAGAGAAGATTGCTGGCCTTAGACAACACTAACAACTCCAAAGGAACAATCAGAATGGAACATTTCTTCCCTGGCCCACGAACATTTTCAGAAATGACGTTAGCTCCTCCCCCAGCCGCACACATGTCAGAGGTAGGACAAGAACGGTGGAGCAATCTGACAAGCAAGCCTTGTGCACGAGAGTAACAGGCATGCTCTCTGTAGCGGCCAAACATTCCCCGGCCATCTGCCTTGACTCCATTCTGCTGTTAAGTCTGAAAGGTGATGGAGAATCCTGCCCCAGAGCATTTGGTATCACCACTAGTGTAGAACAACAATGAAGGCTCATTTCGTAAAGGAAGCAAATTACTAGAGCTAAAGCATAGGGACCACTCTAATTTTCTCTAGCCAATCCAAGCGTCTGACAAGATACGCGAGTTGCCAGCCACTGCTGTCCTTAAAACACTGAAAGGAAAACAAATCACCATTGTGCGTCTCGAATTCTGTTTTCACCATCAAAAACGTTTCCCACCCCCTATAGCCAGTCGGTCTAGAACCCGGCAGAGCAGCTGGCAAATAGGCTCATCTGGAGAAGTGTTTACGCACTGGCCATGGCGCAAGGAGAGTCTCGCTACAGAAAAGTGCAGAGAGTTGATTTCTGACCCAGGTTAACTAACCAGGTGTGTCTCATGGCAACAATGGGATGCAGCGTTCACTCCAGTCATGCTTGGCGAGACACAGCACATTCAGGACCCTCTGCCAGCCTCTCTCAGGGAAGTGGGTATTCATAAAGTTAGGTTCACTCATTTATTTAAAACCAAATCACCTATCTAGCACAACACAGGCACCGTACTGGCAGCCTGACCTGCCAGGCAAGAGGAAATTGCAGCTGACTTTACACTCCTCGTAGGTAGGTTCTTTACACCACAGAACTTCAAAGTGACAGCGTGATAAGCTTGCCTGCTGGTCCCATCTGCAAGTTCTTGCCAGGCAAGGTTTGGCCTGCTGGTTTCCCTCGCTCGGAGCTCTCAGCTGCATGTCTGAGAAAATAAACGTCAGCTTCAGAAAAGTGATGCGCACCCTGTGCTGAGCCAACGCCCAGGCAGGCTCGCAGGCGGGACAGGTATCAAGGCAGGCCTGTTTTTAGGCTTCTCAACCGTCACAAGGCCTCTTATGAGCTGCAGTGGCCACAGCAGCTGATGAAGTTTAGGCAGACGGCCTGAGCTTCCAGCACTGCTGCTCCAGCATAAAGCTTGAGAACTTGATGGTAAGAAAAGCAGGAGGGGGGAGAAATAAATAAACCACAGTTAGTCAGCCAGGTAAAGAATTTTGTGACAAAAAAACCAGAATGATGGGAAAGATACAGAGGCGTGGAGAAAACCGTCAGGGAGTAAGAATGTCCATAAGGGTAAAGATTCACAGGACTGAATAAAACAGTTCCTCGCTGCCCGTTGCCAATGGCGCGCTACGCCCATCGCAACACTGCCCGAGCGGCTACTTTCTGCACGTTCGGTGAGGCGTCTGCTTCTTCTGCATCTCCAGCCGACAGCGGCTCCGTTCATCCAGCCACGGCAGCTCAAAGTTCCTGTCAAACGGACAAAAGGGCCTTAAGCCACAATGGAAACACCCCGTCCAGAATGGGAGGCTTGTTTCGAATGAAACCCGGTAGCTGAATTGCTGCTCGCAACCCCCAAATGGTATTAGATAATTAATTATAATTAGATTTTCCATCAGTCCATCTCCAAGCACCTCACAAAGGGAAGCCCAGAAAAGTACAGCAAGTTTCCCAACATCACCCTGTCCGGTGTGCTACACTCCAGGCCATGAGCCCTTTCCCGTGAGAGAAGGGTGCAAATCTCACAGGACTAGCCTGTTGCATGCTGAACCCACTAGGCCCCATGACCAAAGCGGCTGCCTTGCTATTGCTAGTCCATACAGATGTACTGCAGCCAGCCACGGCAGTCCTTTTCCCCTGTGGTGTTTGATTCTGCACTGTTGATTATGAAACATCAGAGCAGTTTTGTAGCTCTCAGGTGAAAGGGCCTGGGAACCTGAGCATCTATATCTACAAGATTTCCTTCCGGCCCTCGCCTCCAGCACGCATATCTACCCTCCTTCTGCATAGAGTGGGAACTGACAGCGTCTTCCATGTTTAATGGTGCTCTAGGCCAGCCACTGGGGGGGAAGAGTCATGGGGCGGGGGAAGAGAATGACAAACTTTTACGTGGAGGTGCGAGTTCTGTGCTGACATGGCCACATCCGTAGCATGCTGCTACAGGTGGTTAGCCACTGAGGTATCACTCCACCTAAGCTGATTACACATCCAAATCAGTAACACTCAGCTAGTGAACAAGTTTCAGGGCTCTTGTACGTGCCACTTCCAAAAGCAGGATGCGGCTGCCTTTGAGGATTCAGGGCCTTGTCTGAAATTCACAAGCAAGAAATACTTACTGTGGGGTTAGTTTTGGTAATGGTCGGCCAAATGCTACAACTGGCAAGTAGGGGGTAATCAGCAAGCTTTCAACTAGCAAGAGAAAAGACACAAAGGAAGAACGTTAGGGAGCTGCACCAGTTATTTGTATGCATGGCTAGGTTATAGTTACAGAATGGCTGATTTAGAGCAACTGCTCCCCCCCACACCTGTCCGACAAAACTCACCATCATCTGGCTCAGGGAAAAATGAGGTAACTTCAGGCTCAGATTCCTGGATTCCTTTCTTTTTATACATTCTGAGCTGCAGTCGCTGTAGAATTCTTTGTTCCCTGATCCTCTGAATATCCCACCTGGAAAACAAGCCGAGACAGTTAAAAATCCGTATTTGGTAAACAATTCTAGGTACTTCTACATGGCCAGCCATCCGTGGTGCTCAGAGGACTTCAACTAACTTTCAATAAGCGAGCCTTGTGATTAGGTATCAGCTCCATCAGTAGCCACCCTCTCTATTCTAGAGGTGAGATAATGGAGAGCGCACGCACACACGCACGCACTTCTCTTCTCTTCTTAGATCCATGCAGGAGACCTTTTGACATAGATGCTGGTGCATGAACAGGGAATGGCCATGATGACTTCTGTGCACAGTACAGGGAAGAATCAATATACTGGCAGGGGGATACTTAGATGACCTAATAGGTCTAGCTCACCCCACTATCCATGATCCTCCATTGCTTAGGGTTGTCATTACAAACACACAGAGAGTTCACAGATGAAAAGGCCAGGAGGTGCTGGAGTATTTCACGCAGCAATTCCTGCATTAAGCTCAATAACAGCAGCCTCTTTGAGAAAGACACCCCGCCTTGATGTAAAGTGTTGGAGAATTCACCAACATCCCCTGGAAAGTTTCTCTGAAAAACCTGCAGCTCGTTCCCAATTTAAATTTTGTTCCTAACTTCAAATTCCAAGCACTGGATCCCAATTCTGCCTCTGTCCCCTAGATTACAAGCCCCTCTGACATCAGGGGGAGCATGGAGACCATGTTCAACCCTCATCTCTCAACCATCTCTTTGATAAGCTCAACAGACCAAACGTCACAAGTCTCTCAATTGTAGGTTCATTCTTGGGCTCTTCCCTGAACAGGTGACTGAACTGAACAGAGAAGGCAGGGCATGTAAAATAAGACACACACCCCAAGAATTAGGACAAAAAGCTGCATAAACTTCTAATACCAGGCCTCCTGCCTCTTCTCTTGCAGAAGCACATCTGAGTCCAGCTCATTTTTAGAGCCGCTTTCGTGATATTCAGGCTGAGAGAACGTTTGCTGTTACCTTTTCCTTCTCTTCTCATCCAGCTCCAGCTTCGCGTGCCTTTTGGCAAATACGCTGTCGTCTAGATTCTGGGAAGATAAGAGCAGAAGTTAGCCCTCTGCTCCCCACAGCTGGGCACGTTTGTGCCCTCAGCACTGCAGGGAAGGGTCGCAGAGTGTAAGGAATTGTAACAAACATCCAGAGGAAGATACAAAATCCACCTCTAGGTTCTCTGGTGGAGTCAATGTGTCACCTCTCTAGAGCCACATCCCGTTGTAAGGCTACAGCAATTAAACTACAGCAAAGTTTAACAATCGTCAAGAGTTTCCAAAGCTTTAACGATATTTAATAATCGGGTAGGCAAGGACTGCTCATGCCAATGGAAAAGATTCTTGGCCCAGCAATGAAAACTATTGATCAAACCATAATAACGGCCCCACAGATGCATGCTGGAAGTTCAAGCTTTAAAACACACCACTGTGTCAATGGTAAAAACGGGTATTTTTGTTACATCTGCACACTGTCCACACGCAGGCCCACAGTGGTTTGTTCTCCATAGTCTCCTTCCCCAAAGCCACTGATTGGACCATGTACCTCCAAGAGGTCTGAAGGGCTGGAGTCTCTCAGGGGCTCTACGACATGGTCCCTCCAAGAAGGAACTGTGGAAAGAAACAGAGTTAACACTTGCCACAAGGGACCATCCATTCCAACTTGACGTGTATCACAGGCCACAGAATTTCACCTAGATCTCACATTCTCCCAGAGCGGGGAACAGAACCCAGAGTCCTGACTCCCAGCACTTTGCTGTAGCCACTAGAAAAACATGGCTCTTTGTTTTGCACAGATGCAGCGCTACAAAAAGAGCAACTCACCATCAGCCAACCTACTAAAAATGGCAACTCTGCTTCGCCACTGCAAGGAAACATTTCATTAAAAGAAATCTTAGCCTGTAACGTACTCATCATTTGTAAATGTGATTTATGCAGCCCTCTCTGGGCATAACATGTCAGACCCCAGCGATCAAGGATTTGGAAACAGTTCACGTTTAAGGGAAAACCAAACTACTGTATTAAAAGTCGGAATTGTTTTGGTACAACAAACATGCTTAGACTGGAGTTGCAAACACAATTTAGTACCAAGTCTGTTCCTCTTTTACATGTGAGCCCCCAAGCATCATAAATACGGAAGGTGAGAAAAACCAGAACAGCACTTGTTTGAAAGCGGTCACTGTTTAACAGGATCAGAGAGGAGCCGTGTTTAGAGGAGACAGGAATTGAGGCTGTGTGCTCAGTGGGCCTCACTCTAGCCCTCCATGTCAGGCAATGCACGTTTATTAGGGTTTGTGTTTTTCACATCCAAGCACGAAACCAGGCCATTGTTCATGGAGACCCCCTCCCCTTCTCTTTACATAGCAGACTTATCTGATCATCCAAGCAGCTTGTTGTTTGCTAGGGAGCCGTGACACCTGGACGCGGAAATCGGCAGGTAAGAAAGAAAATGGGGCAAGTGGATTTTCAGTTTGTTTGCTGGAAGCATATTTACGCCGTGACCCATTCCAAGCCTGATGCAGAATCAGGAACCAGCCCTGCCCAAGACACGCCCCCACAATCTTTGCCGCTTTGCCAGGAGACCATTAAAACAGACCTCCACCTTGGGATCATGTAGTATTTGCAAAAACTAACCCAGTCTTTGGCTGCAAGACACTCAACAAGATTTAGAGGCAGGAGATCTGTAAGGAGAAGGGATTAGTCGGAGGCCTACAAATCCCCTACGTTGTCCAGATTTACACAAGCTGCGTGATTCTGCTGAGAAGTCACATCAGTGACAAGCCACACCATCACGGCACAGCCAAGAGAGAACTTCTCAGCAACGAGCAGCAAGCTGCTCCCAACTTCACTGAAATGGGACCGGAAGCTGGCATGACACAGAGGGTTAGAAGGCAGCCCCACGAGCTGGCTTGGTTCAAAATCAACTCTGCCTTGTAGGTCAGCACACAATAGTCCTGGGACTGCCTCGGCACAGGGCGCGTTCAAAGCATGGATGGTCAACTTGTGCTGTGTGACATCTGTGCACTGAAAGGAGTCCCTGCAGACACCAGCTAGTGAGACGTGATCTGGTTACTTCTTGGTTCAGAACAGAGAAGTTGCTGGTGCACTTGGCAAGCAACTACTGCCCGTGCCAACCGCAGACTAGACTCCTGGTTTGCTCTCTAATCCAGCTTGTGCGACTGTCTGGTTCAGCACTGGCCAACTGACCCACCAGCAGGCAGGAGACAGGTTCCTGAACCGTTACCAAGGAGACGAGATCTGAAGTGATGGGAGGGCAGAGAGGCACACGGTGCATGTGTGTATGGGGGGGGGGTGACAGGGTCAAGGCAGAATACCTTAGAAAACTCCCCCCACCCACATCATGGGACAAGAGCAGATGCCCACTCACAAACATTGCCAATCCATGCACCTCACTCGGCCAAGAGCAAAGCAGGCTGGGACGGTGTTGAGCAGGGGCACATGGGAGTTCACCTTACACTCCTAACTGGCTTCTGGACCAGGGATCATGTGGCGGATTCCTTCCGCCCGTCAGGCCCTGAAGAGGCAGTAACCGGATGTGTTGATTGACAGCGTGGCCTGGTGTGTGCTAGTGAAGGAAAACAGGCATTCACCTTGCCCCTGGCAGCCAGAGGCGTTGTTTGCACTCGCCATTCCTCCCAAAAGCCTCCTACCACATTCAGTGCCAGTGGCGTGAGCCCTAATGCAAACCAAGGCTCGGACCGCTGCCATTGCATTGGTCTACGCTGCTCAGAGCAGGCCTTGAAGACATGACAATTAAGATGCCAGCAGTGATCAGAAAACAGGCATTCACCTTGCCCCTGGCAGCCAGAGGCGTTGTTTGCACTCGCCATTCCTCCCAAAAGCCTCCTACCACATTCAGTGCCAGTGGCGTGAGCCCTAATGCAAACCAAGGCTCGGACCGCTGCCATTGCATTGGTCTACGCTGCTCAGAGCAGGCCTTGAAGACATGACAATTAAGATGCCAGCAGTGATCAATTGCATTCCTTCTGTAGCTTTCACCACTGGAGCCGGACACGTGGGGGAAGCTTTTTAGGAAGAAATCCCAGTACAGACAAGGCCAGAGCAAGCCCCCTTTACATAATTGTGACATTCCAGGTCTCCAAGCTGAAACAGTGTTTTTTTTTTTTTTAACAAAACCAGGGGCAACCCACATCCCGAGATACACTTTGCCTTCACAGGATCATGTAAGTGCTATGAAAACCTCTGTCTTTGTGGCTTTAGATCTCCTTCCACAGCTGCTAGCAGACACCTCCAGCAAGCAGGGAACGATAGCGCACTGCTTCCTGGCCATTCCACCTATTTCCATGTTTGCTGAGCATCTGTCCAGTAGGAGGGTTACACTTCAAGTGGCGAGAACGTGGGTCAGCCTGACCCCTACCCAGCTACAAGCGAGTTTGTTTTAATCCCTTACTTGCTACAGTCTCCTCCTTCTTTGGAGAGGGCTCTCGTAACGGCAACGGGGATGGGGGAGGTTGATGCCAACGACACAAGTACATTTCGGTGGTTGAAAGGTACGGCAGGTCTTCCGTCTCGCTGGGGAATCTTTTATCACTGGGGCTTTTCAAGGGGGTGGATGGTTTTAAGGGAGTGTCCACTAGCGATCTGGCTTTTTCTGGAGTCTCTTGACTCCTCAGTTCACGTTTGCAAACAGTTTCCGATAAAGAGCTACTTGGCTCCTCTTTCAGTGGAGAGTGCTTCAGAGTTTTACTCTTGACTTTTGAAAATTCAGACACCAGCTTTTTAACGGGCGTTTTCCTCTCTGCGCTTCCAAACGCCGACTTCCTGTTAGAGAAGGGAGAGAGTTTAGCAGTGTATTCGGTTAGCCTATCGCAAGAGCAGCCTACTCCTTTCCCCAGCCTCTGTGTTTTTACGCTGCGTGCCATAAAGCGAATGCCAGTTGTCCCATGGTCATATAATTAACATTGGAGTTGTCTAAACATATGGCCCTTTGCAGAGATCAGGCAGCCCAGTTTGTAAGAGGGGCGACCAAAGGGTGGGGAGTTTTATTTCCAGAAGACTAGTGTATTGTGCTCCCTGGGGCTTCTGCTTTCACTCTGGCATGGCAGAGCTTGCTACACAAGCTGGGATCTTCCAACCATAGCCCTTTATAGAGTGCGATGCAATAAAGCAACCCAGATTCCAGAGACATGGGTAACTGGGAAAGATCTGCAATAATGACTGCTATCAACACGCTGCCCGACACGGATTCAAGGGACATGCCCAACTTGTGAGCAGGTCACTGATCCATTTGAGACAGCACCCCTAAAAAAAAAAAAAAAATGTCCTAAAAAATAAGGGGGTGGGGCAATTCCCAAGCCCCTTGATAATTAGAAGGATTTTTTATGGACCCTTCAACAACGAACACATGCCTTCTCCCCACACACACCTGCCTGCGCCAGCCTTAATTTCAAGCTCTCTCACGAGACCTGGGGAACAGCAACAGGAGTGATGAGACACTGTGGTCTAGTGCCTATTCCAGGCTCTGAAATGCTGTGCAACCTTGGGCAAATCACTTAACCTCTGTGCCTCAATTCCCCCTTAGGCACTAAAATACTGTGGTGATGATCAGTCCAAAAATGAACACATACTACATTTGCACAGACTCATATTTAAACTCAGAGGGGTAGCCATGTTAGCCTGTAACTTTAAAAACAAGGAGTGGGGCACCTTACAGACTAACAATTTTATATACCATAAAATCTCAAGTATAATGCGCACTTTTCCCCCGTTTTTTTTTTAGCATCAAAGGCAGGGTGCGCATTATCTATAGGTTTTTTTTTTTTTTAAGTTTTAAACTCACCCTCGGTAGGCACGAGCTGGGCCGGGGGGCAGGGGGGGGGTGCGGCACCGGCTGGTGCGAGCTCAGTTTGTGTTTGCAGTTATGAGGAGCTTCCTAATATGACTTTGTAGATTTGTTGTGCTTTGGAGTTGCTTATATGGTGTTAGAAGAATTAGCAGGAGGAATACGGGGGCAAATAGGATACCGTAAAATCTTTAGTATAATGGGGGTGTGCATTGTAGATAAGAGTTTAGTTCATTCAAGAATTCTGAGGTTTAAAAGGCAGGTGTGCATTATATATAGGTGTGCATTATACTCGAGATTTTACGGTATTAGTATCATGAGCTCTGGTGGGCACAGTCCACTTCACTGGATGGGTGTGAAACAGGTGAAATAGCCCATTAAGAACATAAACTATCCTGTCAAATGCACAGAGTTAACAAGTTGGGAAAGGGGAGAACAAGAAGCATTACTTAGCAGTAGGTAGGTTTTAGAAAAGGGGAAAAAAGACACAGATTTTTGTGGTTCCAGTAGAAGGGCGTTTTGGGGGACACAAATGAGAAGCAAGAAGTGACTCAAAAAATTCTTGTCACGCAAAGTTACAAACCTCTTGGATTAAAAAAATAAATAAATGGGGCAACCCACTTGGTAAAGAAGGCAACTCACTGTCTGCCATATCCTCTGGATGGAAGAATGCCTTTTATTTCAAGCTAACTTTACTCAGACAACACAGAGTAGCAAACCCACAAGCAGGCTGTGTTAAGTTATCCCCGAATATCTTACGAATTTGAGGCACATTCTTTGTTCTGCATTTAATAAGAACGGGACTTGATGCTTGGTATTTGAACATGTATGTTGTTAACACCTCCCTCTTATCTAGCACTTCTCAGCAATAGATCTCGCAGCACATGACAAAGGAGGTTGGGATCGTTATTCCCCATTCTACAGATGGGGAAACTGAGGCACCAAGCGGGGACACTTGACTCAACGAGGCAGGTGTCTCATTTGTCAGGCTTCTTAGTATCTGCCAGTCAAAAAGTTAAATGAAACGCTGGAGTTAGTGGGGGAGAAACAGTATTAAAGTTGTTAGCTATGATGATCTTTTATACACGTCACGTGACTGACAGCCAATGCGGATATACACACACACAGGCCCCATTGAAAAATAAGGCTGTGAAGAGGTTCTGTACCTTTTATGTCCCTTTCCATTTCTTCCATACGAGAAGTGTTTTGGAGGCAAGGGCTGGGAAGCCTCCAAGAGATCCTGCTGGCATTCAATTTGTAGTTTCTCAGAGGCTTCTGATTCAGCCTTCTCGTCTGTTTCATAACCTTGAAAAATCCTGTGTTTCTCTCTCTCGTTATCCTTCTTCACCAGCTGCATCCTCCTTTCCATGCGCTCAATCCGAGCTAGGAGCTGAGAGAGGGATGAAGGCCGACACTTAGGGTTTAGCTGGCATGCTTTCATCAGAGAAGAATGACACAAATAGAGACATCCCAACTTATTTCCCTCACACCACACCTGGCCTGGTATTTCCGCCTTGCAGCCCGCCACCTCTGAGCCCTAGTTACAATCTTTATTCAAATTTAACATAACAAGACATCACAGGGAAGAAGAAATCACAGACACTCTTAATTTCAGGCTGTACCCCTGTGGTTTTCTCAACACAGGTTTCAGGGAAGATGACCAGTATGACCCTCCACTCTAGACGCTGCGAAGATGGGTGGGGAGTGAGGAATGAGAAATGTTCCCTGTAATAAAGTTGGAAATCCAGAGGCTACTGCACCCCTCACTTTAGAGTGAAAGTTACCGCCTCAGGTTGATTTCCTATTTCAGACTCACTAAGGCAGGGTACAATTTGGTTTATAGAATTCAACTCCCCTCCCAAAATTACAGAGAGAAGTCAGGGGACAGTCGACATGGGGAAAAGTGCCAAAGAAACAGTGTTCTAATAATTGACACCTTTACAAATAGAAAGCGTTTAGGAGAATAATTTTCAGAAGCCCTCCCCCCAAGTAATTCTACAGCAGGGGTGGGGAACCTTCTGTCAGGGGCCACTGACCCAAAAAAAAAAAAAAGTCAGCTGGGGGCCACACACAAGAAAAGGAACCTCACTCAACTCACCTGCAGTGGGAATGGGCTCAGGGTATCAGCGCTCACGCTCTAACCCCGCACAGGGGCACCGAGGCTCGGAGTTTCCGGTCTATGGTACAGAGATTTGCTATGGGCTGGATCACACAAAGCAGGGGACCAGATCTAACCCACGGCCTGAAGGTTCTCCAGCCCTGCTCTAGAGCCTTAAGCCTATTATTTTCAATTGGAACTGGGCACGTTTGAAATGTTTACCCTTTCTGTTTACCCACAAGAGATCTGGACATCACTCTTCCAAAACAACCACATTTTTGCCTTCAAAACTACATGAAATATTCACTTGTAGTTTGACTTACTGCTTCCTCTCCTTTCCCAACCATCACCAATTTGAAAACCCAAGAAAGGAACAAACGTCTACGAGGCGTTCCAATGGACAGAAACGGCACCGTTTTAGATGCTCTCAAGTTTTGTGCATCACCTCCAAATTCAGCTAGGCCATGTCATTTGTAATGGGGTACAAAGTGAATGGTTAACCAGCAGGGGCTGAAACAGCCCCCTCCCCGCCCCCATTTAACTGGTTAAACATATTGTTTGACCAGTTAACTGATTAAACGGAATTTTACAGTCCTAGTACAAAGAACATCAATTTAAAATAAATTTTAAAAATAAAATAAAAGGTCCTGATTAAAAGATAGTAGGGATTTATAAATTCAGACAGATCTATGTTTGCAAATGCAGTGCATTGCATAGATCTGCTTCTTCACCTAGGTGCATTAAATGACAAACCCATAAGCAGTATCAAATACACGAAAATGCCACATAGCTTTAACCTTCACATAGCTCCACAGAATTTAACCATATGGACTCAATGCACCAAGAAAATTAATTTAAAGCTTCTCCTTCAAGTTTTCATCAGCTGCATTGCAATACAGGAAACAAATCCTGGCCTATCCTTAGTTCACTCCCTGCTTTGGCTAGATACTGCAGGTAGGGGACACAGACTCTGGAATCAATTCGATATTTGCCAACAGCAGGAAGGACCAGTATGTGTTTGACTCACAGACATACCACACATGACTGGTGTGTATTTCCGTGATTTTTTTTTTTAAACCCTCACAAAAGAATCCCACGTGTCAAAACTCCCATCACCCCCTTTGACTGCAATACAGCAGCTGCTGCCTCCATGTTGGTTAACTTCACTCAGCTCAACACCATGTTTTGACAGTGCCTTGCACCTCAGATCCCAACCCACCTTGCAGGCAGCATATGCTAGTAAAATGCTGCCTGCTGGCTCCTGTCATTGCTTTGGAAAGCAAAGGAAACTAACCCTCCACTCATCAGCTGTGCAACCACTTGAAGATTTTCACAAAAAACCACACACACACACACACACACACACACCCCCCACACACACCCCCGCCTGGGGGAGAGGGGCAATTATAGGCACGGGGAGAATTAATGCAGGCTGTGGAGAAGCCAGGGAATGAAGGACGATTCCTGGACCTGCACTGAGAAATCTCAACTAAATGGGATGGCTGTAAGCAGGAGTTATTTAAAACAAATATTCATTTGGTTCTGATCTGCTGGGTCTTTCCAAATCTGTATCCCCCGGACCTCTATGAATGTTTCCATGGCAATTATAGGCACGGGGAGAATTAATGCAGGCTGTGGAGAAGCCAGGGAATGAAGGACGATTCCTGGACCTGCACTGAGAAATCTCAACTAAATGGGATGGCTGTAAGCAGGAGTTATTTAAAACAAATATTCATTTGGTTCTGATCTGCTGGGTCTTTCCAAATCTGTATCCCCCGGACCTCTATGAATGTTTCCATGCTGCTTCACTGTGCCCCTTCCCTCACCCGCATGCCTCTGAGCAAGGAGCAAGCTCTGCAGTAGTGCAGCTCTGCAAGGAAAGCCTGGCCTACTGTCAGCAAAGCGGGCCAACAGTGTCCTAGTCTGGACGCTGGCCAAGTTGTTGTTTCTGTGCAGTGCCACAGTACGTGTGAAACATTTGGAGGAGGAGGAGGAGGAACTGATGCTGGTCTCATTATAGCAAAAGGGGGTGGGGAGTAGGAGGCTCCCTGGAGAGGAGCAAAGAGGAGGGAAAGAATTTGCTCTGGGAAGAGGGGAGTGTGTTATCCATTTGTAGTAATTAAACGGCAGTAGTTAAAGGGCCCGCTGTGCCCGCCTGCCCTGCCACCCAGATGGCTCCTACTACCTCCATCCTCCTCCACGCCAAGCGTAGGCGCCCCAAGCCAGGCCCCTTTAATTTAACCCTTCACACACCACATGGCTCCAGCCTTAACCAAATCATAAGCCCTGGCTGGCTCCTTTAAATTAACCCTTCCCTTGCCGGGGCTTGTTCTAATCTCAGTCCTACGGCAACTGGGCTGGCCCATTAACCCTTCCCCTGTCCCTCTGCCCTTGCTGCCCATTAACCCCTTGCCTCCTGGGCCCCACCTTGCCCATTAACCCCTTGCCTCCCGGGCCCCCCCTTGCCCCATTAACCCTTTCGTTACAAGGCTCCTCTTAACCAGTAACCCCTGGGGTGCCGGGTCCCTCCCACCCTGGCCCATTAACCCCCTGCCTCCCGGGCCCCACCCTGCCCATTAACCCCTTGCCTCCTGGGCCCCACCTTGCCCATTAACCCCTTGCCTCCTGGGCCCCACCTTGCCCATTAACCCCTTGCCTCCCGGGCCCCCCCTTGCCCCATTAACCCTTTCGTTACAAGGCTCCTCTTAACCAGTAACCCCTGGGGTGCCGGGTCCCTCCCACCCTGGCCCATTAACCCCCTGCCTCCCGGGCCCCACCCTGCCCATTAACCCCTTGCCTCCTGGGCCCCACCTTGCCCATTAACCCCTTGCCTCCTGGGCCCCACCTTGCCCATTAACCCCTTGCCTCCCGGGCCCCCCCTTGCCCCATTAACCCTTTCGTTACAAGGCTCCTCTTAACCAGTAACCCCTGGGGTGCCGGGTCCCTCCCACCCTGGCCCATTAACCCCTGGGCTGCTGCTGCTGGGCCGCCCCCCTCCCCCGTTAACCCTTCGCGTACCGTGTCCCTCTCGGCCTTGAGCTCCTCGATCTCCTTCTCCTTGGCCTGCAGCTGCTGCTGCTGCTGCT